CTTATTTAAAAAGAAGAGGGAGGGAAAAAAAAAATTAAAAAAATCCACAAACCAACCCTAGTTTTGTGCTGTTCAGCCCAAGTCGAAGTTTTATTAAAGATTTCCATTCGGCAGAACCATCTAATAAATCTTACTGGTTAACAGTCAGAGGAGAAGGAAGAAAATGCTTTTCTGGTGTCTGCTGGGAATTGCTGGTACTAAATTAGCTGCTCTGGAATTATTGCTGGCACCATCACACTGCTGCTGTTGTCCCATGGAGGCTCTCTGTAGCACACGCCTGTTTGCACGCTGCCTGCATCCTAAGCAAGCAGAATATGGAATTTTTAATCATGCACAGAAATGCATTCAGTATTCTTTTTTGCTTGTGGAAAAATAAACCCTTGAAGAGCATTGCAGGAAGGGAGAATGCCCGCCTGCAAAGGGCGGACTTGCCAGGGCTGGTGGGGAGGGATATCTTTGCAAGTCTTTCTGGAGGGAGGCATCCAGCTGGGCAGAGCAAGGTGGGATCATCCTGGCTCCTCATCCCCGTCGGTTGCTGTCTGCCAGCACCACCTCCAAAGATCCCACAAATGGACAGGGGCTGCCAAACTGAGACAGGGTCCATGTGGCAAACAGGACATGCTTGCCTGATGTTTGGGAAATGTCAAATATTTCCCTCACCCCCAACATGTCACATGGAAGATGCTCAAGACCTGTGTTTGAACTCTCAGTGAATTTTAAAATGCTTCAGGCCTATTATAGCTCTTTGCCCATTTGGCACCATCCCTCAAAGGGTTAATTCTAGGTCAACATGAATTTCTTATTGACTTCCATCAGGCCGGGCTTAATCTGAAAATGATGCTCAGTTTGCTCTTCTGTTGATTGAGCTAGAGACCTGAACCATTTATTTTTAATTTTTCATTAAAAGTAATTTAACTTGATATTAAAACTATTTGAATGGACCTTTAATTTTTCACACATGGGGAATGTCACACACATTTCTTTTCCCTGTGTTCAAAGCCATCATGCTCCCTAGTCACTATCATGTAGAAACAGTGCACGTAAAAATAAAAGTAATGTGGTCAAGATTTTTCCCAGCAAATTCAGTATCGAGTGATTCCTGGTGAGAGGAGATCAATAGCATGCAGTTAATTTTTAACTTGTTTATGTTACTGCTTTTAAACCATTTTTTTTGTGATCCATGCTAATGAGCGGAATGAGGAATTTATAGATCCATAGACTAAGGTCAGAAGGGATCTCTGTGCTTAGTTAATCTCAGCTCATGTCTACGCAGGCCATGGACTTTTCCCCAGGCACCATCTCTCTTGGAAACTTATCTCATCTCCTCTTAAAAACACTGAGTGTTGGTGAGTTCGCTCTCTCCCTTACTGGTTCTCTGTTTAATTATCCTTGCTGTTGGGGAAGTGCCTCACTTCAAGGCTGAGATGTGCCACTTGACTTTCTAGTCCCCGTAACCTGCTATGCTTTCGTCGGTGAGACTGAAAGCTTTTCCACTTGCTCCCAGTGATCAAGAAACTTCTCAGCCTTTCTTTGATAAACTCCTTAAATTTAATGTCAAAGATTTCATTTGCGATCCGGGGTCATTTTTGCAGCTTCTCATTGAACTTCTGCTGGTGTTTCCACATGTTGATGTGTGGACTCAAGACCTGCATTCATCCCGCCAACGCCGTATGCAGCAGTACCCTCTCTTCCTGGCTTCAGCTTGCTTCTATTTTGGTGATAGGGCTCATATTATATATCCAATATTGCACTGACCTTTTATCCACCGCATTGCGATGAGACCTCATGTTGTGTAGCTCTGAGTGGCCTCCTGTATGTCCTTCTTTGAGTGCCTGACTTTCTAAGGGGAGCAGGGCTGCTGTGCAGCCAGTGACTGTCCTTCCTCCATTTATTACTTTGCACTTAAAACACTGCTGCTATCTTGAGACCGTCTAACATGCAGCTAACTGGCTAGAATAGCTCCTTCTGTCATATTTTTTACCCACCAAGTGTTATACCACCTGTGACCTTTACCAGGGGAGATTCTCTGTTACCTGGATTGTTGGTAGATACATTAAATAGCATTGAAGATATATTAAATAGCACTGAAGAAGAATCAATGCTTGCTACCAGTGGCCTTGCTCAATGATATCTTCTCATTAACAACTGCATTTTGAGATCTGTCAGTGAAGCAGATTTAATCTCTCTAATGTGTGCCTTGTTAATTCCATATAATACCAGCCAAATACCTTGGAGAAATCACAGTATATTATAGCATCACAGTTGTCTTTAGCAGCCAGGCGTGTTTTATTAAAACCCAAAACAAAGAACCCAAACTCCCCCTCCCAAAAATGCAAAAGACAACAGGCTGGTTTAACAAGACCCATTTTCCAGGAGAGCGCATTGATTGCTGTTCATTATATTATTAGTATCTAGTTATTTGTTGATGAAATCCCAAATTAACCACTCTGGTATTTTGCAGAGAACCAACATGAGGCTAAGTGAGACCACTTAGCCTGATGTTGGTACTTTGCAAAATTAATTGCTGCACTAAAAAAAAAAATCTCCTTTTCACCTTTTCAAAATACAGAAACACTTTGGCAGTGCCCTGATCCATCCTGAACTGTAAGAGTTCTTAAAAATCAACATTAGTGGTTCAAACAGCTTCTCAGCGAAGTCTCTAAAGATGCCTGTGCCTAAGACAGCTGGGTTGCCTGATCTGAGAACTTAATTTCTGACCTTCTTCATTCACATCTTTCCTTGCTGCCAACGGTGACTGCTTCTGGTCCCCTCGGATGGGGAGAATATAGAACAAAACCTTCTTGCTCCCTTCCAAATACTGATGAGAAATATCCATCCAATCGGTCTGTGCTACACTTTGCTACCTCATCAGAAATGGTTTTATAACTGATTAAAATTGCAAATTTGATCACAAAAGGTTTAAAATGCCTTTCTTTTTCCTCCTCAGTATTTCACTGGTTCCCTCGGCCTCCCGTAGCAGCAGCCAGTTTTTAACCTTGTATTTACCTTGTATTTGTTTCTGCTAACCTCCCATTTTCCCTGGTTCCATACATACTGATTTATTTAGTTTTCATCACAACTTTCACATGCTCTTTTGGCTGAAATATTTTTCCTTGACTGTTTCTCAGCCTATTCAAGAATTTTTGAAATTGTGCCTTTTTTGGCATCCAGTTGGGATGTACTGAAATATTCCTTTTTCTTGGTGACTATCCCACTATAAATGTAAGTTTCCAGTCCACTACTGCTTTAGGCTTTGGAAACAAAATTAATTTAAAAGTTTGAAGTTACTTCTTACTGATGAGTGTTATATTCTACTTAAGCAAAGCCAGTTTATTAGGGTGCCTAAGCAGCAGTTAATATTTAGGTCTCCTTGATCCATCACAAGGTCTCCCACTGGATTCCCTTCTGCAGGGCGCAGAGCAAAGCATCCCTTCAGGTTAGAAACCTTGGGAAGTTTTTGGGTGGGATGCTCAGCCAACAACTCTTGGTTGAAATCACCATGGCTGTGCAATTTCTCTTGTAGTGTACCCCAGTTACTTAACAGAGTTCTGTTATGTTTTACAAAGCAGTGATGTTCAAAGAGCAGTTCATCCCTCTTGATGGGAAGATACAGGAATGTAACAAATGTTTAAATCCCTTGTGTTTCATTTTACTGGTTAAGGCTCTAACCCTGAGCCACACTGTACCCTTTATTTCAGCTTTTCAGGAGAAAAATGTTATTAGCACTGTAGGCTCCTCCTCATCCTGCTTTGCCTCCTGCTAGAGCAAAGGGACAAGGAAGACTTGACCTTAGCGCAGGATGCACACGGCTACGGCCGCCCGGGATGGAGCCGGCTGCTCCTTTATTCCCAACAAAATACGGATCAGCAGCCAAGAGAGGGCGCTCCTTAAATTAATAAAAGAAAGGGAAGAAAAGGAGAAAACCAGGGAAAAAAAAAAAAACAGCAAAAAGAAAGAAACTGAGCATGCTTTCTTAAAAAGCAATTTTCTCATCTGCACTGAAGTGAAAGGTTAAATGCAAGGAGTTAAAATGTGGAGGTGTTTTCCTGTCATAGGTTGGGGGCTAGGGACACCCCTGGGGCAAGGGGCAGGGCTGTTGGCTGAATGTTTGGGAGATGCAGGTCCGTTGTGGGCCCAGCTCTTGCCCCGTCGCTGCTGTTCCTCCCACCCCAGCCAGTGTTTTGCCCGGTCACTTGCCCAGCACAACCCCTCTGCCCTGGTTTTGCTCAGAGCCTCAAGACACCGCTGCATTCATTGGACATTGATAACAAACCCTCACCCAGCGCCCACGGCAGCGTTCCTGGGCCAGAGATGGCTTCTCCCCATGAAATCGATAGCTCAGCCAGTCCCCAGAGCAGGGATCTCCTCTGCGAGGGGCTGGCGCTGGATAAAGCCTGAAATAAGCCCGTCTTTCTGTAACTGCCACACAATACTTTTTAAAAGGCCTTTAAGTTCTGCCAGTACCTGCAATGGGTGCCAAGTTTTATTTTTGTCAGCCAATTTGGGAAGTTTGTTAAACCTGTGACCGGCATCAGGGAAGCGAGCCCAAAAAGCAATCAAAAGCACGTAATAAATAATAATTAATATCAGTGTGTGGTGCTTACTCAGTATTTTTTTTTTTTCTTTCAAGGATCTTATAGCTAATTAGCAAAAACATGTTCCACATTATGGTGGTCTCTCCTACATCAGGTATTTATCCTCCTCTGGTTACACGTGGCAAACTGAGGAAAATAGCGTTCCTGTAGTCTGCTGGAGGAGCCCAACACACGTCTCTCCCTGTGATCCATTGTGCCTGAATGTGAAGACATTCATGAACCATAGTAGGGTCCTAGATGTGCACTTTAGGAAATGCTGTGGCCCTGAACATGTATAAAAAAGAGATGAGGCAAACCCCCACATGGTACACACCTCCCTTCCCCTCTCCCCTTCACTATTTTAGATTATTTATCAGCAGAAAATGTTAAGGCACTGGAAACTCAGTTTTAATGTTTTTTTCTCACCTGCAGAACTGCCTGGAGTGGTTCATGTTGGGACCTGCTTTAATATTGCCTTTCTCTGGGTCATAGATGGTGGTTGCTCGTGCATAAGCTCCTCCAAGAATAAAGATGAACCCATTGAGAGTGACTGCAGGAGCATATTTGTTATCTGTCAATGGAAAGCAACACTGAGATCAGTTTTAGGCTCAGGTTTGGAGACTGGTTTTTTTTATTTATACATTCCCCTTATTTATAGATAAGTCACGTTTCTCTAAACCTCCAAGGTGAAAAATGAGGAAACCTTTCCTGGTTTTGTTCTTCTCTCTCCAAGTTCTCAAAGGCACTTTTAAAGTTAATCAGTCCTTCATCCCCCAGTACGCGCCTCCCTCTAAACTGGTAAAGTACAATTATCCTCTCCCGAAGCTTAATGGAGCCATCCTGAAAGCTCCACTCTTATATATGAAATTAAGATGTCAAGTTGTTTCAGAATTTTGAATTGCTGCAAATTTCAACTCAGATGCTTCCCATGCCTGTGCAGCTGCTAAGTACAGAAGAAACCCACAGCGCAGAGACCCGATAATAATATCCAATAGTTGGTTCTCTTTTGTATTCTGCTTTTGCTTGTGGGAAGGTCACCCACATAATCCAGAAGATTTTCTGAGACCTGACTTCTTTCTCCCCTTCATCTGTCTCGTTAATTCACCTGCATTTTTATTTTCAGATGTGTGTGTGTACCTCCAAGCAGTCCTGTACTTCAACAATAAACTCTGTTCATTGGGTTTTGATATGAAACAAGTCCCTTATCCTAAGTCACATTCAATCAGAGTTTCCAAGGATGCTTTAAAACTCTTGTGTTAGCTGTGGCATTATTAGAAATATTGGTAAAACTAACCATAAATTATAGAATAAAATAATTCTAATTTAATTAGTTGACTTGTCCCGTATGCTGTTAGCATGCCATATGCACATTTTTAAATATGAGCCAGTTGGACTGAAATTTCTCATGATGGTGTCCGTCTTGATGCGATACAGTTTTTTTTAATCAACATTTCAGTGAAACCAATCAGCAGTGTCTGGGAACAAAAGACAGGAAAATACATTGCTTTATTTGAATTAAAATAAGCCTCACAACCAGTTCTCTAAGAAGCAAATGCTTAAGCCCTTTGGGGTGTGAAGCAGATGTTTCCTGGGTGGCTATCCTGGTGTCAGGGGACACATAAAAAATTCTCCATACATCGCTATCAGTTAAAGCCTCTCCAGAATCTGCATTTTTTTCTGCTCAGAAAAGGTTGAACCTCTTACATCGCCAGTGGAGAATCAGCCTGGACAGTGTCCTGCCCGTTGGCTTCAGCCCCTGCAACCCTCCTCCCACATGCGGGGAGCCGGGGGCAGTGTGCTGGAGAGGAGGTGTGATACCATCTTTACTAGGCTCTTACATCTCTGATAGCAGCTCTACGTAACGTTGAAGGGGGTCTATAGGTTCCTCCCACACTATGGCTGTGTCCTTTTATGACCACAGAAAGAGATAGACTTAAACCAGGCCTGGCAGCTTTACTTTTGGCATGTGCTTACCTCTTGCATGGCTGGTGTTGTAACCCTGAGGTTCCTGTAAAACCTCCTCATTCCATTAAATATTTAACAAGAGACTTAATTTGACAGGAGTTAAGCAAAAGCTGATGAACATCTCTAGAAGACAGGTAATTTCCTTAACTGAGGTTTGAAATGGTTAAACTAGAAAGAAAATAATGTTTTTGTGGTGTCTGCTTCTATTCCAGCATGGCCATGGGGTGGTCTGACTCAGTTCATTTCACCTTATGTTGGTGCGTGCCCAGGGGGATGTACGAGGGTGCAGCACCCGGCACGAAAACAGACAAAACATGCTATGGGTTAAAGTTGGGCTCCTATTACACTGAGTATCTACAGGCATATGTCAAAAAACCACGGATGTATTAGGAAAATGTCACTGATCCCTGGGAACAGATGGGAAGAAACTAATTCATCCAGAAAATAGAACAAGGAGTATTCAGTTTCTTTTCGGTGCCACTAAGCCACTATAATTCATCAGAAAGACTTATCTGTCCTAACAACCCAGCTCGCATCCCTTTCCAAATCAGACTTGCATATGTGACATTTTTTCCAGCTAAGACACTCATCAGAAATTTTCCATATTTAATTATCACATCTTCCTGAGTTTTTTTTTTTTCTTTCTTTTGGCTAGCACTGTTTTGCAGAATAATGAAACTCACACATGAAAAAAAAAGAACTCAGCTCCCAAATCTCACAGGGAAATTATTTGGGGCTTCCTCAAGGCAGAAACAGCGACTTCTCAGGAGACTGAATCACTGACTTCACATTCCTTTTTGTTAAAGAAAGAGAGGGAAACCCCTTGGTTATTTTTATAGTCACTTTTTTTTTTCTTTTCATATAGGCAGACAGTCTGATATTCTTTGTTTTTTAAGAGGCAATCATGTTTGATTCTCATCAATTTTTCAATACATCACCTATCTGTTGTCTTTTTATTGCTTTTGGCTTTAGCTACAATTTCATAAATTGGTATAAAGTAAGCCTGAGATAAAGCAACAGAGAAATCTCTGCTGTTTCTTTCAGGAAGGGAGAAGTTCACAGCAAGCAGTCTCCTGATCCTGATGAAGATATGGCAGGAAGACATGAGGGACACCCCTCCAGAAACAGGTAGAGAGAAAACAGTGGGTTTTATTTTTGTTTTGTTACCATGGAGGCAGAAATTGTTCACAAATACTTGGAGCTTGGAAAACTCAAGCCATCTTGCCTGATACCTAGGTGTGGATGACCACCTTCAGTCTTGAACCTTACTTCACCCCAGGTGCTACCCACACCCTTCCCATGCTGTTGTCCTTTCTAGGGCTTGGTAACCTCAGGCAAACACTCTGGAGACTCCAAGTTCTGTCGCTGCTGGAAGTCCTTAACATGCACATAGTCCAAGGTGGTTGGTTGGGGAGCCTAATTTTGCAGAAGCATGTTCTGGTTGGGCTTTTTGATCAATGCTACTGGGCATGAACATGAGCTCCTATGAGTCAGAGGCTTACTGTGGGATACAGTGGGGACATTGGTTATTTCAAAATTCTGCCGGAGGGAAGGAAGAGAGGAGAGAGGAAGCATGGAAACAGAGAAACAGCCTCCTTTCCCCTCTAGAATTCGAGTGTTGGGGCTGTCAGATATAGTAATCCATTTCAGGCTGGAAAATCTTAAATGGGATTTGTCCAGGACAGCAAGCACACTTGAGATTAAAAGGCAGAATAAATGTAAAGGAAATAATAGATAAAAGGTACTCTTCTCCCCAAGTGCATAATATCATTCTCCTTTGCTGCTGCTAGTGGAAAATATGCAAGTATTTGTATTCTGGTGACAGGTCATTGCGGGGAGGGTTATGCACTCAACAACAATCTCTGAGCCAGAGGTGTACTTCACATGGGGTTGATAATTTAACCTGCCAGTGTGCCCCTCACTTAGTAGTGACAGCGTGCTGCCTCTGATGTGCTTCATGGCTCTTCTATCTGTTGGTACATTATATGGTCAAGTAGCACAGTTCTACATTCCCTTCCATGATTGCTTAAAGATCTTATGTCGCCTTCCAGTAAAGCTCTCGGTCAGAGACTGAAGTGGCTTTACAATGAATGGCAGCACCACTCCATATGGAAACAGGTTATTAAAACCAGGCTCATAAAACACTTTTCTCAGGAGGATGAAATGCAGGCATGCCACCAGTCCAGATATAACGGCAACCGAAGGGTCTCCCTGCGGGTGTGGGTGGCTGGTGGGGGGGGTTGATGCACATGATGAAGCAGATTGGAGAAAGGAGACTAGTTAATAGAAGCTAAATCTATTTTAATTCTAAGTGTCTCTTCCCCTCCCTGAATACTATGCAGACAGGCTCAAGAATGGCATAGTGATGGATAAGGTAACGTCCCTTGGCCGGTGGGAGCCTGCGGTTGGATCCTTAACATAGCTCATGAAGCCAAAGTGCAGATATGGCAGTGCACAGCACGGTCTCGGATGTCAGCCCTTCTGGCACCGTGCTCTCCTGTTAGTTATTTCTCATAACTACACGACCAGCTGCCGGGCCCTATGGTTTCCCCAATGACCCTTGAGCAAACCCTCCTCAGAGACCTCAAAGTTGAGTGTCCTCACCTGCAAACACCACATTTTGTGTATGTGTGGTGGGGATCACCCATGCCAAAGCAGAAGGCTTCACCCGCCATCGTGGAGCAGTTTCAACATCTCCTTTACAGGCAAAATGTTGATGAACTGAAGAGAGCTGAACAAAGCACGGCCACACAGATGAAGCAGAGGTAGGAAGTGAAAGGGAGGACATCTGATAAAGGGCAAACATGAAAATACTGCCTTGACTGGGTAGAAGGCACAGTAAGTATGTGTAGGGGGAACACATCAAGGACTGGAAAAAAACATTCTGAATGGAGGATATGGCATATATGGAGGAGAAATGGATGAAACAAAAGAAAGTAAAATTCAAGCTTACTAGTGGGAAAAACACTAAGAACTAGTCATGGGAATAAAAATACATTGAAGGATGAGATGAAACACTTATTGCTTTGAGACTTCTAGGTAAGAGCTGGCCAAACCCACACACAGGTGCTCAACTATTGAGAGAGGGTCAAGACATAGATTTGTTTTTTCTTGTAAAGTCCAAAAATAAATTCATGGGAACCATTATACATTTTAACCAAAAAAGCCATGGTACAGTGCAGTAAAAGTGCACAGATGCTGCTAACACTATTTTCCAGATATTTCTTGCAGTCTTAGCTCTGTGATTGTCTCACTTTGGTTGGACATATCACTGCAGGAGTAAATGGTATGGTGAGGAACTAGATACTTGGATTAGAAACCAGAAATGCTCATAGATCTTTGACCTCTGTGTTCCCACAGTTCTCACCAGATTTTAAAATTTAATAGTGGTGACAATTAAATGCTAATTTACTTACAACCCAGAAACATTAATAAAAACTTTAATTCCACCAGTACAGACACTGACTGTTCAGGGTATAAAAAAAAGTATATTTTAGTGCTGTGGCATGAAGGCACAAAGTGAACTAAAAGGCAGTGACAAGATAATTAGCCTTACTTACAATCACTAACTTCAGCATGTCTATGGCCATCTTGTTAAATAAGACAAACCTCAGGAAGCTGGGCATGAAATACATTTTTAGCAGAGCTATATAGGACAGCCTGGCAAGAAATGGAAAGGCAGGTGCTGCGAGTATGTAGCCTGGGTTCATTTACTGTGGTAGGACTTTGGCTCGACAGCAGCAAACTTCTTAAAGCTCAAAACACAAGAAGGGGATGTGCAAGGTGGTTTATGAAACACATGCAATGTGAAAGCCCTTGGAAGCTCCATTACTCCAGTAATGTCAAGCTGTGGGCTGCACAGCCGCAGGAACATCTGCCAGCTCCAAAGGCAGGGAGGACAGAAGCGAGGCAAGAGATGGGACACCGAGAAAGACTCTTTCCAGACATGGATGTGTGTAATCAACACCTGCCCAAAGCCTACCACAGCATCAGTTGGTGAGCCTACTGTCATACCTACTACACTCAGGCATCTATGTCCCAGCACCTCCTGGCAGGTGAAGGCTAAAGAATAAAGGGAAACTGGGAGTGAATTTGCTGCCTATTCCTAGAAGAAATCCAAGGAGAAGAGAGAAGGGGCTGAGCCATGAGGACGTGCTATCAGTCCCCACTCCATATCTCCTCTGCCCAGACAGTATGTCAGTCCAATCTGCTTCACCTCCATTCAGATTAGCCAAAAAAAATGACCTTCCCCTGTGCCATGGTTGTTGCCTTGGGTTAGGCTGGCACACGAGACTGTGGAAGAGAGGGATGTGTTGGGTTCAAACACCTCCCATGCTGCATTCAACTCACTATCATAAAATAACACAGTAACTTGAGACAGGTATTACTGGTCTTAAAATCTTTAGACACTTTGGCTACTTTCTGTGTCTACTGTTGCATATCTGAGTATGCTTGAGGTGTTTTTAAATAATCCCTTGTCCTATATGAGGTCAAACAAGTTTCCCTGATCTCTGGGGTGACCTTAAGCAACACAACTTGCTGTCAGATGTCTCAGCTGACTTAGTTCAGAGGGACACCTTAAGAATTCACAAATCAACACAAAAAGGCTCTGAGGTTGTCAAAGGCACTCCAGCATTGATCACACCAGGGTTTCTCTCAGCTCCATTTTGTAAAAAGCACCCCAAGACTCTCCCTACTCTCTCTTTGTTTTTGATGAATGGTGACCGTACTGCACTTGGCGTAGCATCCAGTTCCTGGGGGACACTTTACAAATACAGGTGATACTATGGTTTTTGTAGAGCTGGAAAAATCAGAGTATGTTTCCAGCATTCCCACTGCCTTTTAGTAACGATCAAGCATCACATCAGCTCAGTTTCCCAGACATTCTCCACTGGGGTGCAATTTTTCAGGCTCTGTGTTATTTTACTTTATTTGCAAATAAATTGACGTTCTACATTTCCCAACAAAGACACACTGCAACTCCACATTTCATCATATATTTTATGCCTTCAGCTTAACTAATTAACTTTGCTTACACTAAGAAAACATAAATAAAATCTTTTAACTTCACTGTTTTCTTTCATGTGTTTTTGTCAGGAAATAACAGTACATGTGCATTAGCACAATGGGTGACAAACCCAACTCTGGATGGTTCGGATGATTTTTTCCAAGCACGCATGGTGTTGATGCCTGCTAGACAGTATAACGAGCCCAGGGAATGATTTCTTAGCTCCTGTGGCACTTGTACTATTTTGGTAAGGAAAAGGAATACCTCTTTGCATAATGCATTCGTTTTTGCAATACGCTGTGAGTACAGGAAAACCTCATACTGTCAGTCAGTGGATTAAATGGAGAGCAGCAGCTGTAGCCATGCGATGGAAAAAGCCAGGCAATAGGGCTGTTTGCGCTGCTGTATTACATAAACATGACTTCTGCCGGTTAACGCCCTCCCGCTGGGCGCTTCACGCTGCATCATATGCATGTCATGTTATGTTAGGCTGGACACAAACAGCGGCAAGGGAGTGGGAAAGCAGCAGCGCTGTCTGCACAGGGAAGGCTGCAGCCGTGGCTCTACCAGCTCCTCATGACCTGACCTACTAGGGAACCCCAAGAAGAGCGTAATCATAAGTGTAAGAAGCTACAATAAAGAGAGCAGCTTATTTTAGCTTTCTCACTATGCTTACTTGAATACCTTATAACTGTGCTTCTACAATTTATTACTTGCTACTCCTATTGCTCTACCAGGCTCAATAATGAAACTATGATTGTTTTCTAAATGAAACACCTCATGTCACAGTTTCAACATGACTAGGAGGTTTAGGATGGTGAAACACTGGAAGAGGTTGCCCAGAGATGTGGTAGATTCCTCATCCCTGGAAACATTCAAGGTCAGGTTGGACACAGCTCTGAGCAACCTGATCTAGTGAAAGATGTCCCTGCTCATTACAGAGAGCTTGGACTAGATGACTTGCAGATGTCCCAAACCATTCCATGATTCCAGGATGCAAAGGCAAGCCACCCCAACGCAGCTTCTCTGCAATGACTACATGAGCACTGTTTCTTTGGCCAGTCCAGTACAGCCAGACTGAAGGCTGCCCACAGCCACCCAGCACAGAGCAGGTGCCCCAGGTCAACTGTTACCCTGCAATAATGTTGTCATGAAGGTGGATGCTAAACTTCATTTTCAAAAGCAGCTTAAGCACTCAGGATGCAAATGACCACAGAAAACAAATAAATTGCAATCTTCTGACCACTACCCTAATTTTAGAAGGAAGTCTGCACCTCTAATGTTGGCTGGTATGGTGGAAAGTTTGGCCTCTTGTCTTGCTCTTTGTTCTGTAAAATGTTTGGTGAGCTCAAGGGCATCACAAACTAATAAACACAGTTTTAATAATCTACGCTTCTCAGAGATTTCAGCCTCTGAAGCACATCTGCCTTTGGACACCACTGATAAATCCCAGTTAAGAATGACTGCCACTTCCCACAGGTCAGGCAGCATTTTAACAAACCCATGAATAATAATCCATTAACTGAGCTGTGTTGTAAAACTGCATGGAGCAACATGTGGTGCCAGGATGAAGTTTCACTACACTTTGTGATTTTTTTGGATCGAAAATTACTAGTTGTCCATACCTAATAATTGCTTTCCTTTCTCCTCTACTTCTAACTCAACACTTCTACCTGATAACTAACTGTATTAATGAGTGACAATTGCCTTCAGTAGAGATCCAGATAATTGCCTCTCTGGTATAATATACCATGAATTCCTGCTCTTCTGTTGTAAACATATCTCCCCCCACCCCACAACTCATTTGCTTTCCACAAAGGCATTAAAATACCTGTAGCACAGAGATTTCTGTCGTAATATGGGCTTACTCTGCCACCACGCATCCCTTACCGATCATCGGAGACTCTATAAAACTCCACGAATTAGTCTGTGGGATGTAGGACTGCAAGACTCCCGCAGCTCGGCCGGCTTCGTTCACCCCACCGAAGACGTAGATCTTCCCACCACAAACGGTCGCAGCGGCCGAATGGACGGCCTTTGGCAGAGGGGCGATGGTCTCCCACTGGTTGGTTATCGTATCGTACCTAGGAGGACAGCAACTGGAGTGAGCTGAGATTATGCAAGGCTGGGCAGGATAGACAGGCAGGGAAAGCAGGCTGGGATATAACAGACAGGCAGCTTGACAAGCAGAAGAAAAGCAGAAGTGGAAATGTATTTTCCAACATCCTACAAATTCAGCCACTTGATAAACAGTGTAATTAACGCCTTTTCTGAGCTTTTAAAACATTGAGAAAAGCCCAGAGAAAGCTGGTTCTATTTTCTGTATATGCCTCTCAAATCTCATTATAGTCCAAGCTAAAGAAACTCAGAACATCTTTGTTGAGATGTCTTCCACTAATTAATTTCTATTAATGAGTATACAATGAGATTATTCTTGCAAATCAGCGCAGTGATATCCAATAGCAACCGCAGGCAGGCAACCGTTAATATACTTCAGTTGTTCAGCTTGTGGAACACATCTCACCTGCAGCATAATGCGACACGATAGCGCTTTTTACTCTCCTTAACTGACCAGCGATGCACATTTTGTGCCACAATAAGTTCTTCCATTTAATTTCCATTGTGCAAATCAAACCATCGTGCTTCATTGAAAGAAGCTGCAAATGTTAATGCTGGAATAAGATTTCACCATTGCAGCCATATTTGACATGAAGCAAACAGAGAAGAGTATGCATGGAAGTGCTAAATTAGTCTTAAGGTCATCAGTATCTGATTTAATTAAGCCATTGACCATAAGGGATGTGCAGTTAATAATCCATGGATGAAGAATCATTTTAGACAATGTCACAAGTACAGCCGTCAATTGTTTTTTTTAAAGATAATGTGCAGGGATCCAAATAGCTGCTCTAAAATGAGTCTTGGAGACAGTGGAAAATAATGTGATTTTTTTAGGCTTCTATATTTCCACGTAATGGCACATTCAGTCAAATAGGAGTTTCCTGCGTAGTGATTATTCAGAATTGTTGACTGGAAGAACAGAAGCCCTCATCACCCATTCAGGGCTTTTGCTTTTAATATCAGTGATATGCAATATGCAAACATGAAATGAATCCATGGCCATGAACGCACCTGTAAAAAATGATTTAGTGACAGGGGAATTCTCCATTTGTAACATGTCCCTCAAATTCTTACTGCCCAAAACTGGGTAATATAAAAGGAAGAAATGATATAAATGGTGAGAACAGCACAAAATAATGTGCTTAATGAAAATGCATTAATGAGTTTCCAAGTAATATAACTGAAAGTAATTAACACACTCATAAAACTGAAGCAAAAGCAAGAGGGAGGCAAACTTTAACTAAAAAAAAATAAATTAGGAAAGCCCTTTATAATGAGCATGGAGAACTGCCTTGTACAATGCTCTAAATTAGTTACTGAGAAATTAAATTCATCTACAAGAAAGTGATCAAAGGGGAGAAATAGAATGAGATTAAACAACATGATGCTGGGAGCATTCAAGGTGACACACCTATATCAGGCTGATTCTTAATGTTTGGTACCAAACTCGCCTGCAGATGCATTTTGACTGCACCAGACACAATACGCTGCAGGTCCTGCATTTGCCCACAGCCCTCGGCAGCACTCATGTCCATCCTAGCAGATATGCAAAAGTATCACAGAAAATAAAATTTCATAAACTGCTTTTGGGTTACACTTTGCTAACTGTAGTAATCTGGGGCTTGGTAATTTAATTGATGATGTCTTCTTGTATAATAAAATCTGGCTTAGAAATTGCTTAGAATTGGTTACAAACTGGGCAAAGAAATAGAGCTGAGAAGAACTGACCTAATGTGCCTTTCTAGTTCCTCTGTTTCTAAGATATAAATATTATCTGCCACCTGATATGTGTTGTCTCACACCATCCACTCTGACTTAGCACCACTGTTAGGCCAAACACCAGGAAGGTTTGTGGCCACTTGAAGGGGTCTGAGATGGGATGGTGAGCAGCCATGCTGCTCTTCCCGGCGCTGGCAGAAGCACCTGGCAGACCACAGTTCCCAAGACTGATGTTTCTGCTAATGACTTTGTGATTATCACAAAATGTTTTTGGGAAGGAGGGAAATCCTTCACATTTGCTGAGGACTGCATCTGGTAAAGACTGTGTCTATAGGAAAACTGGAGAAAGGTTCATATTACAAAGGCAATAGTCCCTTTTCTGGATGAATTTCACTATTGGGACCTCAGGCCCCCTAAACCCCATTTTTCACTGCTCTCTGTTTCTGCTGTATGATGTCAGAACTGATTTTTCTGTCTTCTATACTCCTTCATCTGCCAGCTGGAAACCAATGACCAGTTCCACTTCATCTGCTGAAAGGCAAATGCTGTAAATCTACTGGATATAGGTGCAAGTGGGGCAGCTAAAAACCCCACTCTTGTCTGGAGGCTCATTTGCTTTAAAAAATCAAGTGAACCATAAAGCAGGTGGAAACCAGCCCCTGTCCACCTAACACAGGCATCTAACATGGGTTTCACATAGGCTGCTCAGTGAAGCAATGCTCTTAACTAAGTGCCTAACAACTCTGGGGCTGAAAAAGAGAAATTGGTGCCTTCAAGGCCTCTTGTTCATCAAGTCCCTTCATCCCCCGGGAATTTATTCCTCTGGTTCATTCCCTCCTTGCAAAACTGTAGACCTGATTTCTAGTCTCTGTTTTGCTTCAGCTCCCATCCACCAGAAAGTAACGTTGTTTGGTTGTTTTTTTTTCTGTTGGATTATAAAACTGTCTGCTATTAAATCTCTCTCTTTCATGTATGGACTTGCAGAAAATAATAAAGTCACCTCTTCACCTTCTATGGAATAAACTAAGTAGTCTAAGCTCCTTAAGTCTCCCACTGCAAGGCAGGTTTCCATCACTTTGGTCTATCTCAAGTCAGTTCTTAACATGTTCACACAAGGATTTGCATCAGATTAACTAAATTGGTTTAAAAATGAATAAACTTGAATCTTTGTAACCTTCCAGGACAGAAAATAATGACACCTGCTTTACCTCTCTGCCCTAGGGCCTTTCCATCTGTCGCGTCATCTCCGATGTTGCCATCACTCCACTGCCACTAGCGCTAGTGGGGCTCCCCGGCTGCCGTTAACACCAGCTCTGCTCAGGGGCCAGCCGAGAGGGAACTGATTTAAAGAATGATCCCTTTGATCTCTTTCCATTAGTCAAGCTTTGCATTTGATTCTTCTGTTTGAAGCTGTAGATGGAGACTTAATGGGAACTGACTTGGAGCCAAGTAAAGGTTTTTCTTCCCTCTCCTCCACTGCTCCCTCCAGTCCTGGTGTGTCCATGCCTGTCCTTGGCTATGGGCCTACCGAGCTCACCCAATTTGCTGAACTTGAAACTTCAAGGACATCTCCTTTCACTCCTGATTTTGCAGTCCTTGCACGCTATGGACTCACAGAATTTTAGTGGTTGGAAAAGGTCTTTAAAGATCATTGAGTCCAACCATAAACCTCACACTTCCAAATCCACCTCTAAACCACGTCCCTAAGCAACTTGTCTACCTGTCTTTTAAATACCACCAGGGAAGGTGACTCTACCACCTCCCTGGGCAGCCTGTTCCAATGCTTGGCTACCCTTTTGGTGAAGAAGTTTTTCCCAATATCCAGTCTCACATGTGGTATTACACGGATACCCTTGCACATCTTCCTCTGCCCCCAGAGCAGTCCCTCCAACCCCATGGTCCATGGCCCAGCCGTGCTCTGGATTTCAGGCTTTCCATGTGTGCAGGATGTGTGGGGTGTCCCTCCCTGTCACTTCAAGTGCACCAAACACTGTTGTCTCACCTGACCCTTCTGTGGTCACTATCCTCTGCTTTATGTATTATTTATATACCCATGATAAGGCAAATGATCTGAACCCAGCAGAAAATACAGCCCAGGCTTGAAGAGAGCATATGCAGAAAGAATCTTGCTGGTTTTCACTTTTTTTCTGCACTCTCAGGAATTCATCTGTGGGCCTGATCTTCCTCTTGCTTCACTCATTTCGTTCAACGCCTACCTTCTTGCTCTTTCTTTTTCTCAGTATTAACAGCAGAAACCCTTTCATTTCAAGCTGTGCTGTTTGCTTCCCTGCCTTCTTGACTTTTGATCTCTTCAGTACCTGAAAACAGGTTTGTTTTTATTTTTTTTCTCCTCAGTCTCTTAATTTCTCTCCTTCTAGGTTAAACAGCTGTATGAGCATCCTTATTTATTTGCATTATAAAACCCTTATATCATGGTCAGTCGCTTACAGACACACACCCTCCAGTTTCTTATACATTATTTAATTCTGTCTGCAGGAAAGCTGCTATTTAAAATAAAGCTGTACAGTGTCATATTGATCTGCTCTTCAGATGATTCACATGCAGTTTAAAATCACATTAATGGATTACTATTTTTTGCCTTTTTTATTTTCTTCTGACTGTTCTGAGGAGCTTAAGAAACTATCCTTGGACAAGGCTATATATTTAGTTTTCCTAAGACATCAATAAAACAGTAGGTTCTGAAGCACTTTCTAAAGCTTATAAAGCTTATTCTTTACATTGAATTTTTTAGACTGCCTTCCAAATACACACTGCCAGCCAAAGTTATCTCCCAATTTTAGACAACCCTATTGTAAAAATGCTGTCAGGTCAAGGGGATTCATCTTCTTCTGTCCTTCAAACAGATAATAACCACAAAGCACCCACATTTCCACACTTCTAGTCACATACGTTGTCTTGTCAGCATACGCAGTCTTCTCGGCTCTCAAATTGCATATATTACAGGGCCCATCCATTATCTAAAAACCTTGTTCATGGATCCACTTCATTTCGTCGCCTCCCAACTCAACTCATATCTCAGAAGACGACAGAAAGTGTAATACCCTCTCGCCTAACACCTAATGACTCGCTCCCTGTCACATAGAAACTTGCCAGAGGGGCTTGATGGAGAACTGCAGTCACGCCGTTATTTCCCTAAACACTCATTTCAAAAACATAACTCTCCCTGAACATATACCCATGTACAGCCACAAAAATGGACTTATAACTCAACCCCTTTGGCACATGCATATTGTTTTAAGACGAGTAACGAATGACTCCTACTCGTCTGTTTATGATAGTCCCGTAATATTATCCATCGAGCCAGATTTTTACTGCCTCTTTACAGACAAATGGCAGATAAAGGGTAAAAAATCTCAGCCTTATTGAAGTTGATGGGAAAACACCCACTGATTTAAGTGGCACCAGAATTTCTGGTTGAGGCTGCACCCTTCAGCATCAATGACATGATGAAAGCAAGGAGAGAGGAGCACAGCAGCTGATGCCATAAATCATTAGGAGTCCGGTGGTGCCTACTTGCTTTAGTACTTTCTAATGGTGCAGCAGATATATGAGGTGCAGTCAGGTGGTAGTATGTACAGCTAAGATGGTCTGACATCTGTTTTTAAAAAAACAAATTGCAATAAAAACATCTTTGCCAGATTCTAATAATTTAAAATGAAATATTCCCAAGAATTCCAGGAAAAACAGGTGGAGAACAAGAAGAAAATTGGGAGAAAAATGTTATTTTCTCCATCTTCAAAGACCATCTGTGGTGACACCCTGCAGTCGCCATGCTCTGGGGCTACTAACTGGGCAGGTCAGGGTAGGTCATGTTGGACCAGAGATGTGCACTCCACCACACCGACGATTACGTATCGAAACCTGGCCAAAGCTGGGCATGGTCATGCTTGAGCTAACTGAGCAAGCAGAAAACAAAATGTGGTTGGGAAAGATAAGGTGCATGTGCACGAGGGGACATGGTAGGTAGTGCAGTGAGGGAGGGTGTCCAGTGCATTGTCCTTCACACTGGTGGCACAATCCAGGAGTGCATCAGGCCTGGATGAGCCTCTGTACCTCCATCTAGGTGGGTAACAGGGCTAAAATCTGTTAGGATGCCTCCTTTGGGGTAAAAACCCAAGAGCGTGGGACCCTGAAATTCAACACCGATTGGAACAATGTTAATCTCAGAGGTAAATGTAAATTTTGGCATCACCTGACTTGGAGCACGTGATCATGTCACTTTATTATATTGATATAGTCCTTTTGTCAGACCTACTGGAATGACAGAGAGGTTTCCACCCTCCTGAGAGATAGTATCTCGTTGTCCAAAGCAACCCAGTATTTGAAGAGCAATATGCAGCCCACCCAGAAATATGGTGAGAGAAGGCCAGTCACTTGTAGTTCTTGGGGAGGGGGAAAAGAAAAAGAAGGCAAAGTCAAGAAGTGAGCATTAACTGCACTTACAACCACAGACAACTGAGCAATTAAAGTGTCTTTACTCTGTATTTTATTTTTTTTTTTTAAAGTTGTAACCCAAATTCAGAAAGCCTCATTGCTTGCAAAAGTGGGTAGAATTATTTAAATTCCTGAACACTTGCATAAATTAGCTGCCTGGTCTAAATGGGAAATGCTTTTTGCCTGAAAAGACCTGACTTTACTCCATACAGCTATGAGGGTCAGCTTTTTCCTCACCTGCATTTCTAACAGCAGACCCTGAAATATCCTTTCTGAAACGCACAGCTTCAGTCATGCCATGCTTTGCTTCTGCCATCCTCACTGTCATTTTAAGACAAAGAACAAAAGAGGAAACATCCTCAAACCTCTCTCATTTCTTGGCATAACCCAAAAGAGGCCACATTGCCTCTTTTTCCATGGCTGCGTCTCACAAGTCACTTCATAGACAATAGCAGATTAATTATAACCACGGGTTTAGCAAATCCCCATGACAAGACATCGTTATTGCGGTTGAGACAGTGTGTGTTGAAATGATAGGGAGGAAATCTGCTTCTTTCCCACATAAAAGTCTCTTGGTGGACTTGTTACAACTGCAAACCTGCACGACTGCTCTCACTGAGCCATGCAGGGTATGTCAAGGGCCTGAGAATGACTTTGCAGGCTGCAATGTCATTTCTTGGGTGGTTAAAAAAAGGAAGGAGAAGGGGAGACTTTGCTTGATTTGGGGTTCATTCAACTGACCAATGTTTTGGATGCTTTGCTAAATAAAGACTAGAGAATCAGAGCAGAGGAAGAAATGAGACTCTGGGAAAAATGAAAAGAGATCATTCAGTCAATGCCATCTATCGAGACACCAATTGCAATAGCATTATTTCAATGTTCTTCTTTATCGAGAGATGGAATGAAAGACTGCATCTCTTTCCTAGGCTCCCTCCCATGATCACAAAACATTTCTGGTCGTTAAAAATTTACTGACTTAAATTACAGCACAAATACCTTCAGAAATCAGAAAAAAATCTGCATAAAATGGTGAGATTTTCTTCAAAGCAAGTCCCAAGGGCTGTTCCCACCTTAAGCTCAGAGTAAGGAGGGGAGCAATGCTCACGTGTTGTGTTCACTCCTATTATCTGTCATTCATTCTTCACTGCCTGCATTTCTCTGACTTGCTTAGAGCACCATCACCACCATCAGTTCTTCAGCCCCTGCCTGGGCTGGGAGGGCAGGCTACCTGCAGACCTTGTCCCACAGTATGTAGCCCAAATGTTCCCCAAGCTGGTCTGTCCCATGCACTGAACTAGGCAGAAATAATTTAGGAAAAAAAAGTGATCATATGATTAAAAGATTAAAGAGTGTACCAAAAAGTAGATTAGCAGAAGGAAACTTTATTTTTGGCATTTCCTAATTTCCTGTGTGTTTGACTTTGCTCCAGCAAGGGGATTGGACTAGATGATCTTTCGAGGTCCCTTCCAATCCCTTACATTGTGTGATTCTGTGAAACATTATTTAAACTTTTAATATAGGTTTTGGTATTCACTATTTACATTATCTACTTAAATGAAATTATTTTTTCACACCACCTGCATAGATGCAACATAAATGTTGCAGCACTAAAATCCAGAAATAATAGATTGAAAGCATCTTTAAACCTAACCTTGTGAAAAATATTTGGGGTTTTTTTGTTGGTTTTTTTTTCCAAGTCTTTCTTAAAGACCTATCCCTTTTTTGGCTCGCCTGTCAAGGCAACTTTTACTGGGAATTGCCTGTTTCAAAATGTAGCTGAAGAAGTATTCAAATCCAGCACTTAAAACTGACAAAAAGAAATAAACTCATATTTCTGGTTGCCAGATTCACTAAGGAAAAACATTTCACAAAAAATGTATCATTAATCTATTGTCATAATGCATTTTTAAGTGTTTGTGCAAGGCTAGGGCTGTGTTGATCTTTTTGGAATGGAATATTCTTATATACTACATTTCAAAGCGGTTTCTACTTTTTTAATGAAAACACTCATGTGCATATAAAATGTATGGTTTTATTAAATGTTATGGTTGACATGAAATTAGTTGGTTTTGGAATTTTACTTGGTGAAATGTTTATTTTGTGTTTTTTGTTCCTTCTTTTTCTTTTTAAGTTCCATCTGAGAAAAGGAAAACTTTTATATCTGGAATCTTCTTGAAAAAAGAAATTTCCATTCTCTCCCATTTCTATTCAGTGTCTCTTGGCCAGGAATTCAAAACTGTTTCCATTTATTGGTTGTTTTACTTGGAGCTTGGCAGGTCCCAGCCCCAGGCCAAGACCACCAAAGGGAGGATCTTCCTTCCAGCCATGTCAAGGTTGAGGTGCTTTACCATGAGAGCGCATGTGAGAAACTTACCTTGCTGGGGTTTTTTTTGGGTGTTTTTTAAAAAAAAAAAAAAGGATTACTGTGGTCTGTAAAGACTAAATTCAAAGGAAGTTTATTAGTTCATTGTATAATCTGTGTAAAGAGTCAAAAGAAGCTTAATTCCTCTCTTCCCTCTCCCGAGCAAACCAACAAACAAACTGGCAGTTTTTGTCTTTGGTTTTGAAACAATGCTTTCCACTGAAGCTTTAAAAAGAAATCTAATCCTGCAGAGTTTCCTTCTTTCTTAGCTGCAATAAGAGCTTATTTTAAAACACACAGCCCATTTGATGTGTCCTTTAAAAGGGAAATGGTACTTTAGCACAGCACAAAGAAAAACCTCCAGCAAACAGCAAACTTTTGTTTTGTTTTGCTTTGTTTTTTTACCTTTCCACATGGTCAACGTTGCCTGCCACACCGACCCCTCCAATGGTATAAATTTTCCCATCGTACACCAGACTGTTATGTCGACACCTTGGGACTGTCATGCGGGACACGAGGTTCCAGTTATCGAGCAAGGACATGTAACACCAGACATCAGCGAGCGTGACACCCGACTCCATGCCGCCTGGCACCGACGTGCGGGTAAGGGAAAGAAAAGGGGAGAATTACATGAGATCCTGGAAGGGCAGCAGCTTTGCACACAGCAATCAAAGCCAGTTGCAAAGTAAAAACTCTTCAAATGACATTTGACTAATTAAAATAAATCGCCCTCAATACTGAGCATCTGTTCCGATGATGCATATCTGTGTCATTTATTCATGCGCCCCAAAGGCTGGGTTGTTTTTTTTTTTTTTTTAAGTAAGATGACATGAAGAAATCAAGATGTCATTCTACGAGGGACATGTACATAAAGGGATAGACCCTTTTCAGTGTTCATAAATAACTTCCAGTCTATTCAATTACTGCAACACTTGCAAGAAGGTGGCAGGAGGCAGAGCTGATCTTGGCTTGTGAGACACAGGACAGTCTGAAATCCAAAATACTTAATACAGTGATGGATTGAAGCAACACATACATGGGCAGAATAAAGTCAGTGCTTGCACTGTAGGCTTAATGCCTAATTTTCAGGGAAAAATTTCTTATTTATTTTAATTTGCTGATAAAGGAAAGAATCAGCTGTACCACTCCTATAAAACAGTCCAAGGTGTTCCAGTGAAATATTTATATTGATAAATTTTTGAATTCTGACTGAAGCTTCCAAGGTAGCCACTTAGTGGGCGCCTTACTATCTTCATTTTGAAGCATAAAGAGGTGAAATGATTTATTTGAGACCACACTAGGAGTCAGTGGCCAAGCCAGGAAAATAAACTAGATTCAGTTCCGTGGTTTAACGAGAAAGCCAGGCCTCCTCCTTGGTATTTTGTTCTCCAAACCTATGCTATGCATTGTGGAGTCCAGTACTTGGAGCTTGCAGGGGTTCATTTCCACTTCTTTTGGTTCCCTTTCCCTCTTTCCTGTGTCTTGTAAGTTGGAGCAAAGCAAAATATCCACCAACATTCAGCTAGGTTTCCAGCCATGTGGGACTTTCAGCTCTCTTATTGTAGTCACCAAATACCATCAGGTGGCTCATCCAGATTCAAGGAAAAGAGCTGAAATAAGCCTTGAATTTAGGATTCAATGGCTTTTGTTAGCAGGTATGGCCTAAAATGGCTCTACATATTGGAAAGTAGCTTAGCTCAGAATAACTAAAAGTCAACATCTCACAAAAGCCTCCATAGAAGGCTTTCACTCCAGTAGCAAAACGAGCATGGGCAAAAAAAACATCAAGAAATAATTTCCAATCAATCCTTAGGGCCTCTATGCAGTATTAATGGAATTTAACACCACAGGCAGCAATTTACTGTGGAAAATGCAGTAAGGGAACTCGGCAAGGGAAAGACAACAGCTGTAACCCCTTACTGGTACTGCCTGCTGCATCTGCACTCCCAACTACACCCTCAGATCACACACATCTGCACCTCCCTGCCCAGGCTTCTCTTTTTATCTTCAAACCTCCACTCAGCTGCCATCAGAGCATCCTTGCATCACCTGGTGGGAATCGCTTTTCTCCCTCTAGCCAAGCAGAGGTACCACCAGACTGCAAAAACCCAGACACCGTGATGCTCCGGGCACAGTGTAGACAGCTGCTTTGGGAGTTAAAGCCTTTTAAGGAGCGTGGTCTCAGTTTCATCGAAGCTAAGAAGATTATAGGGCTAGTGACTACTGTCAAAAGAGAGGTCTCAACAACAAGTACAAAACGTGAATGCTCCTGTAAGCAAATACCGTAAGTGTAGGTCACATATTCAGCAGTTCAGCCTGTCTGTCTCAAATTCCATAACCCACCATTTAGACTCAACTACAGCCAGTATTTTAAATTGTGTTTCTATGGCAGTGAAATCTCTTTGCATGCTTGATGGTTGTCAGACCTATTTTCTTCACGTTGCAACTCCAAAATATTGCTGTTGACTGCTTTGAGAGAACGTTAATACCACAGAGAAATGGAGAATGATAAAAGCAGGGAAATCCCTCTCTCCCAGCCTCCCTCCTACTTGTCTTTTTCCCCAGGAGCGGCTGGGTAAAACTCCTGCACGTCCTTCTTTGTGCTGCCTATGTTGTAGGGAGGAAACTTTTCTCCTAGCCCAGTAAATCTAGGGGTTGAATGGATTGAGAGCAGCCCTATGGAGAAGGACTAGGGGATACTGGCAGATGAAAAATTGGACATGAGTCTACAGTGTGCGTTTGCAGCCCAGAAAGTCAGTTTTATCCTGGGCTGCAACAAAAGAAGGGAGGCCACTGGATCGAGAGAGGTGATTCTCTCCCTCTACTCCACTCTGGTGAGGCCCCACCTGCAGTACTGTGCCCAGCTCTAGAGTCCCCAACACAAGAGAGACATGGACCTGCTTGAGCCAGTCCAGTCAGAGGGTTGGAACACCTCTGCTATGAGGACAGGCTGAGAGAGTTGGAGTTGTTCAGCCTGGAGAAGAGAGGGCCTGGGGAGACCTTATTGCAGCCTTTCAATATATAAAGGGGGCTTATAAGAAAGAGAGAGAGACTTTTTACCAGGGCCTGTAGTGAAAAGATCAGAGGTAACAGTTTTAAACTGAAAGAGGGTAGATTTAGATTTGACATATGGAATAAATTTTTTATGATGAAGGTGGTGAGACACTGGAACAGGATGCCCAGAGAAGCTGTGGCTGCTCATCCCTGGAAGTATTCAAGGCCAGGTGGGATGAGGCTTTGAGCAACCTGGTCTAGTGGAAGGTGTCCCTACCCATGGGAGGGGAGTTGGACTAGGTGATCTTTAAAGGTCCCTTTTGACCTAAACAGTTCTGTGATTCTAGGATTCTATGGAACCTGCTGCTTACCTGAAAGATAGATGTTGTCCCCAGCACTGACCACGCTGAAAAACTCTCGATCATAGAAGGGCAGGCTGGCCAACGGGTACCACTTGTTGTTTTGAGGATTTAAGCAAGTGACCGCTGTTAAAGCACGTTGATTCATGCCAATCATCTGACGACCCCCAACTAAGACTATTACCTCAGCTACACCTGGGATTCAAGTAAGAAAAAGAATATTATCAAAAAGTGATAGCTCTCAACCAGGCAGGAGCCTATCAAAAAAATACTTGGCAGTTAGGGTAATTTTAATGTACCATACATAAATCTGTTTTGGACTGTGCAATCAAACTAGGAATGGTGTGAAAAAGGAAGAGTGTGTGTGTGTGTAAGTGGTGGGTGAGGAATGACACTATGAACATGCTTGAGAGAACCTGGTGGGGAGCATGCCAACTGGGCAAAACTTGATGAAAGAATGAAAAAGGCAGTTCCGTGTAAAGATGTCCCTTGACTTCAACAGTCTTCGAGTGAGATCTGCACATAGAAAATTCCTGTTCCACTGAAGAAAATGGGAATTATGTCAAGGATTGTGATAGCTTTGGAGTTTGGCCATTATCCAGGGAAAGTATGTTTGGACTTTAACCTGAAGAAGGTGTTCTCACACTAAAGCTAATGTCTGGAGGAGATTTAGCCTAGAGAAGGGAAGACTGAGAGGGGACCTTATTAATATTTATAAATAGCTAAAGGGCAGGTGTCAAGAGGATGGGGCCAGACTCTTTTCAGTGGTGACCAGTGATAGGACAAGGGGCAACGGGCACAAGCTGGAACACAGGAGGTTCCACTTAAACATGAGGAAAACCTTCTTTATTGTGAGGTTGCCAGAGCACTAGAACAAGCTGCCCAGAGAGGTTGTGGAGTCTCCTTCTCTGGAGATATTCAAAACCTGCCTGGATACAGTCCTCTGCAACTTGTTCTAGATGTACTAGATGGTTGGACTAGATGATCTCCAGAGGTCCCTTCCAACCCCCACCATTCTGTGATTCTATGTGATGGTTCTTCATCTTGATCTTTGCTCTGCACATACTCTATTGACATGTAATTTTCTGGTGGGGGTGGCATTTTCATGAGGTATTTTTGTTTTTGTTTGGGGATTTTTTGTGCTTTTCCCAGAGAAAGCAGGTTTTCCCAGAGAAAGCAGCCCAAGATGCAGGCAATGTGTTCAAGCCATGGATCAGTCTTTGGATACTACCTGCTAGGAAATGTGATGGAGATAGTCCCTGCCCTAATATAGTTATTAACTGAGATTTATCTATAATTTAACAGTTTCCCAAGACCCCAACACACAGGGTGTACAACAAGCCAAATTCTCTGTTAGTACAAATGGTCAGAACTTTTGCAACCCAAATCTCAGAGTTTTAATTCTCACTTTACAGCCAGAGCTGCGTCAAATCTGATCTGAGTGTTATTCCAGGCTCAGCCCTGCAGTGATGGGTCACAGTTTAAGTCTGGGACATTTTCTGGCTCCAACCCCAAGAGGCAAGTGCTGGGGATAGTTTGGATTTAGCATTTAGCAGAAGTGTTAAAAATCTTTCTGCAGCAATTATAAGCCCAAGTGTAACTTGTTGCCAAGAGAGGTAGGCTCAGAAGCAGGACCACATGGCCACGAGCTGGAAGGAATTGCCATTTTGGGAGCTATGCTTGTGGCCAGACCCATTGCTGTGATGTGTCACGGTGCCCAGCCTGGAGACAAGTGTGCACAGGCGGGGAGGTCAGAAGCACAGCAGTGAGATTGCCAGCAAGAGAGATTAGGAGCTGCAGCGGAGAGAAATGCGTCTTCAGAGTAATGGATTATCGTCATTCTTCATTAGAGTTTTCAAAAAATATATTTGTGTCATTCAAGCAAGGTTACTCTCTTAAAAGTTATTAAGTTAAAGTGCTGAACAGTTTTAAATAAATATTTCTCAGTAAGAAGAGATCATTATTTTTGTGCCATACCAGAAAATCTAATCACCTGTGCAAGACATAACTTGATTATAATCAATGACCTCGAGAGGGCATGTGACATGCTGCAGCGAGTCCACAAAGGGTGTTTAGAGATCTTTTGTGCCTACATGAATGCCGTTGATATGCAAAATAACATGATTCTATATAATTAGACTCTGACCTACAAAACTATAATCACCCTCTCTTACCCCGAGAGAATCACTTTTCCCTCATCAACAAGCTTCTGGAAATGGTTCATATTACACCTACAATTTTATATACATAAAATAAGCACTTTTCAAAAAATCCCTTCAAACATCACACCATTAGTCATCTTCAGTGAAAGACTTTTTAGGGTCGATTGTTATTGAAAGTCCTCTACACTCCATCCTTCTGAAAGGTGCCTTGATGAGCCAGTCTCCAGAAGCTGTGAATGCCGTGGTTTCATATGCCATCTCTGTGCCACATTAGCATTAGTGGCAGTGACAGAAAGTTTTGCCTGGCTTTGTGATTGTACGTACGGGAGGCAGAAGTACAGGGAGCATGTTAAAACAATCCACCCCTTTCATCTGGCTTCTTCCTGGATGCAGTGTTCCTGCGTGATACTTGTACCACTCTCTGTTCAACAAATATTTAGGATATTTCTCACACTACTATGATACAGGCTGTGCTGGTGAATTCTGCACTTACTTAGTCTTTTTTCAGGTATTTTTCTAAAAAGGAAAATGCATGCTTTCCTCAGGTGAGAAACTTCTTGAAGTGACATGGTTCTCCATAGCTGCTGGGTTTTTAAAGGGAAATATATCATGTATGATCCATTTGTTTTGGAGGCAGCCAACAGCCTGAACTGGTACTGTAAGACTCGTGGTATGAAAATAATATATTTCCATAGGGCTGTGAAAGTGAAGTCATCTTATCAATATTAATCAGCTGCTCCCTGCAAGAGGCTGAATGGCAAAGCAGCAGGTTTTTCACTTATTTTGCAGTTAGAGAAACTGAGGCACAGAGGGAAAGGGGCTCACTTTCAGGACAACAGGGGCATGTCACAGTTTCTGCCAAAACTTAATTCCTAAAAATTAGCCTCCTTAAAACCTAGTGTCAGGAGCATACATCTCCACACTGATGTCTGACCACGGGCAGAGGCTCCTAAATGCTTGAGCAAAGCAGAAAGGGAAAACCGAGCTTGAAATACCACCAGGCTCCAAGAAGGAGCCAGGGGAAGGAGCTGAGGTCCATGCCCCATCCCAGGGCATGTCCTGGCCATGCCTGGGAGCTGCCAGACCAGGGAGCTGATGTCGTTGAAGGAAGTTTTGCTTTACCTGCAGAGAGCCTGGGCCGGGTCCTTGGCGTCTGCATCTCTTGTCGGGCGTGCGGCAGCATGTGATAACGTTTGGCTTCGTTCACGAGATCCCGGCAAGCCTCCGAAGACTTTATCAATTCTTCATTGTCAACAACATTCAGCAGATAGCTGGGGTGGATGAAGGGGAGGCGTACCACTGCCAGCAACTCCGCGGCATACTGTGGGGGGAGAAAAAAATAATAACACTCTGCAGCCTTCATGACAGAGTTCAGATGCTTGGCATGTCCACATCCTTCCCTGCAAAATGTCCCCTGTCACTCAGCCTGGAAAGATGCTTGTCATGGATGTTGCACATAAGTCCTGCCTAGCAATCAGGTGGGACAAAGACGACACAGCCCTCAGTGCTCCCCAACTCAGGCTGTTTTTGGTCCCAGGAGACTGAAAATAATCTTCAAAAGGTGGCAACTCCTGTTATATAGGACTGTATGGAGAGATTTTTGAAATAAAAGCTCATTCTGAGCTCAGGCTGGATATAACACCTTGTGCACTGGAGACATGGAGTAAGTTTTTGAATTTTCTGAATTAACCTTGAAATGTGAGCGTGGTTGCTGCACAGTGAAAAAAAACCAAACCCAAACAAGTCTTTTCTGGCACTATAAATGTGAAACAAAAGCTGGTAAATAGGGTGGATTTCAACAACTGCTATAGCAGAGACTGAATAGTAATAGCCAATTTGCTAAAAATCTTTTAATTAATAGGATTTATTTCTTGGTGAAACAAATCATGTGCTTATAGATCTTAGGGAATTCAGACTCCAGAGGGTGCTATACAAATACTGACAGTAAGTTTCATCTTCTAAATAAATACATTAAACCTCAGAGGGCAAAGGACATCTGAGCAAATGAAGCTGTCTGTCACTGAACACAGCTTAAAGGAGAACAAAACCCAAGAGAGAAAACTGCAATCGAAAAACCAAGAGTCCATCCCCAGATTATTCTTTTTATATATAATTGGTTATATCACAACACAGCACAAGAGTACAGTGAAAAGCAGAGCAATAGGAAAGCGTGGTTCTCGAGAAGAAATGCACACAAACAGGATGCAAACGACGGGTGTGCAGCAAGAAAAGATAATCATCTGTTGTCATAAATATTTATATTGTGGCAGCATCCAAAGATCCCAACTGGGATTCAGGCCAGAATGCAAATAAATATTCCTGAGGCCCGGGTGACCGGTCCTGAGAAACGCTGGGTGCCAGCAGCATCTGCTGGCCTGCAGATGCCTCCAGCCTTCCAGCAGCTACTTGGCTCTCGTTTTCTTTTTCAGCAGCATGACTGTCCCTGCAGCGCGGGAGAGACAGGTCACAGCAGGAGCAGGGACAGGAATGGGCCAGGGAAATAGCGAGATGGGAGGGCAGGGATGTGGCCCGAGCCAGCTAACGGGCTGGCCAGGAGGTGAGGATGCAGTGACTCCAGGGGCTGCTTCCAGGGCTTTCCTTTTCCCCACCCAACCTGAAGAAGCAGGCTTCATTTAGGAGAACAGAGGATTCTGCACTTTGGCCACAACATTCCCTGGCAGCACAACAGGCTTGGGGAGGAGCGGCTGGAGAGCTG